GCTACACCATTTGTTATATGTGTTTGTTTTTTCTTCACTTTTTTAGTTGGAGTCCCTTTTCAACCTGACTGGATATCATGAGCAAAACCTCAGGTTTCCCTGCTACTGTTCAGCGACAGCTGCAGCATTTGAAGTGTGGTCCCAAGAATTGTGGGACATTAGGAAAAGGTGGCAAAATATTTAACTGAAAAAGAGTTGAGATCGTGTCTGAACACTTGTGTGACAAACAAATACAGGAACAAAGCGATTGTCCTACCCTACAACTACAAACATAAGAAAATAAGTAGAAAAAAAGGGGCCTTGGACCATGCTATAAACAACAGAAAAAGTTTATTAAACTTAAATCAAATGAATAACACTTCTTTAAGAAACAAAGGAAAGAAATACCTATAACCATATCCTAAAAAAAATTCAAGAAGGGGTCCAGCTTAAAGTAGTATTAAACCCTCAAACCTTTTTTTTAAATAATGAATCCAAATGAAACAAATATGCATTGCCTAGCAAAGGATTTCTTTACAATTTTACCGGAGCACTTACAATCATCATGTTTCCAAACAGCTGACTCCAACTCTTTCAACTCAGCTTCAGCAGTCCCCAGCAGCCATCCATCTACTAGCTTGGAGAAGGAAGGAAGGAGCAGGGAGGAACAAGGAGGGGAGTGGATTGCCTTGCTGTGCCTGTGTGTTTGTGGAGACACACACAGCTTACTAGCACACACAAAAGGTGGCTCCATAGGACCCTGCAAGGGAAAGGAGCCATCCTAAAACAGGACCAGTGCTCAGGGGATCAGCTGATTCTGCAGAAAACATCAAGGAGCCACATCCATTTTAAGTGATTTACTCAGCATTTGAAATACTACTTTAAATGGTAAAATGGTCTAAATCAATGCAACACTGGATACACGTATTTCTGGTAAATGCTACAGTGTCAAAAATTATTTAGAACCACCTTCTATTTATCAAATATATAACCAATTAAATACAAACTATATCCCCAAATTATATTTAAAAAAGGGATGGTTGTGAAGAATAAAAACACAATTTATCTATACACATATAAACAAAAGGTGCCAGAAAACAACATAATATCAATTCCACTTGGAAAGTGATTAGTTGGTCGAATGCTTGTATTTAAAAGTAATTAAAAGTAATGCAGGTAAGCATATAATAGTTATCCTCATATCTTTCATCTGCAATCTATAACTTGGAAAGGAAAAATAAATGATCTAGTCCTTTGCTGGGTAAAGCCTCATATTATGTCAATATATCATGGAGTAATCAATCATTGAACACATATGTCCCATGTGTTCCTCAATAGGCAAATGCTGTTGTTTCATCTGTAGATCCCCAACTGACGCACATATTCACTGTGAAACTTATGAAATATCTAATGCTTTGTTTAATTGTATTTCTTGAACAAACATAAAAGTAGTCTGGCTGCAAAAAACAGCAAAATCTCTTGTAAAAAAAAAAACAAAAAAACAAAACACATCTTGTGGAAAAGTGTAAATGTTCTATGGATGTCAGACCTCTGAAACAATCAGTTTATTTATGGGTTAATATACCTTCTTTGTATGGTCCACATTCCCCTTTAATCTGAAAATTTACCTATGAAACCTTAGTGAGATAACCTGATACAGACTGTGGAAAACAGAACAGCGCACACACAGTAAAACCCTATCTGGAATAATTCAGAGGTTTTGCGAGATTATATCATGAATTTGGCTACGAAGTCAAAAAATAGGTAAATGATTAACAAACTACATGAAGGACAATAGATTAAACAAATAAATACTAAAATGAGGTGACCTGGTAATAATAAAGCTTTTAATCTTCAAACTGGATTTAGAACTATGACATGCATCAGATAATTATCTGCAATGGACCTCATTTCTATAAGCTGTAAGTTGTCATTCTTCATTTGTTTGTATAGCACACATAAATTACGCGGCACTTTACATGCAAGGATAAACAAGGTCATGGCAACTGGCTCTGCAAAGAAGGGTTGTGCCACTGCCGGATGGCTGGGAAACACACAACAACCATATAAACACCATGGAAGCAGTATAAGAAGCTCACTATCAGGATCCTTTATGCTAAGTTTCAGCTGCTTTGCATGATCTGGTTTATGCATACCATTGTTATGGAAGCACTTAATACCTGGAGGTATTTTATATCATATACCAAGGTGTTATTTTATCAGAATTGTGTCCCTAAACCATTCAATTAATATACATAAACACTGCATAGGTGTAACATTGAGATTTTAAAAATTGTTTAATCTTTTCATTTCTAATATATCAGTATTATAGTGCATCTCATTCGTCGTAATTTCCATTTCAATATTTTTATTAAGGTTTTCCAAAATTAAAACAAAACAGGAAGTAAAATAAAAAATAAGACATAGCAATGAACAACGTCATCAAATAAAACATAAAAAGGCACGAGTAAAATGTAAATGATGCTAGAGCAAATGCAAAACGCACGGGTGCATAAGAAAGGAAAATAGGCATTCGGTGCCCTTTGGAAAATTGAGGCACTTTTATGAAATAATGTTAGATACTCATGAAAGAATCTTAGAGGAGAGAGAAAACAGGGGGATAGATCGGAAACAGAAGCAAACAAAAGAAGACAAGGTAGTATAAACATGAGAAACGAGATAAGACTATCGCTCATTCTTTGAAGATGCAAGTTATTCAATATGATGTGTTCAAGCAGTGCGTGCAGGGATTCTTTGCGAGTGAAAAACTTTCTAGTGTCCTCACAGATTCCTACGAAAAATGTAAAAACATCTGGACGCCTTGGTTCTCTATAGCTGGTCCTGCGTTGGACCACATGATACCCTCATATCTACTCATATGAGCAGAGGAGCAGGGGAGCAGCAGCCACAGGAGTGGTAAAGTAGCAAATCGGCCCATGACAGTAGAGAACCAAGGCGTCCAGATGTTTTTAAATTGTTCATAGGAATCTGTGAGGACACTAGAAAGTTTTTCACATCATATTGAATAACTTGCATCTTGAAAGAATGAGCGATAGTCTGCTTAGCCACTAACAGTATGAACTACCCCAATTTCTGCTGAGAGTGATTTAGTTGATCATTGTTTGAATTAGGCAGAGCATGCCAGGGATCTTTCCATTAGTCAAACTAGAAAAAATGGTACATGCATGAATCTATAACCGGCCTTTATAGCAGGGCGCACATTGGGAAGGCTTACAACAATACAAAACACAAAAATTCCCCAGCCTCAACCTGCCAAAACTACTGGTTTGGTTGCAGGCTGGCTGGCAGGTTGAGGCTGGGGAATTTTTGTGTTTTGTATTGTTGTAAGCCTTCCCAATGTGCGCCCTGCTATAAAGGCCGGTTATAGATTCATGCATGTACCATTTTTTCTAGTTTGACTATTTTGGGTTAGGGGGACGCACTGGAGTCCCAGCACCTTATTAGGAGGAGTAAGCCACCTCCAGGTACACCTGCATGTAATTTATCAACTTCATTAATATGCTCACACTTGGAGACTCGGATACATAGAGTTAGGACCACACTTTGCAGAGGTGCCTTGACGCGGCAGTGTGGCTTCTACATATTTTTGGCCAAAAGTTTGTGCAACTAAACCTCTGATTTTAACGCATACTGTTGACAGGGCTACTTGTTTGGTTGCAGGCTGGCTGGCAGGTTGAGGCTGGGGAATTTTTGTGTTTTGTATCTTTCCATTAGTCGTTTTTTCTATGGCTCTTTTTTCTGAGCCTCTCATCAATATGATTGAAGCTGATTAAAAGAATGAAGGCAACCCAGATTAATGATTGACAGGCTCTAGGCCTAATGTCTAGGTTCTAATGAGACCCAACAGAGACTGTCAGAGTGACCTGCTCTTTTGTATGCAGGCAACGTCAGGAAGAGGGATATCCAGCTGGATCCTGCCTGTCATCATAGAGACATGGGGCAAGCAGGGTGAGATCTCAGCAGAATTTTACAGGTAAGTAACACTGCTTCTACCGACCATGAATGACCATACCGACAGGTGCATCATGACTCACACTGAGCTAAACAAAATATTGTCTTAACACAGCAACCATGTGTATTCCTACATAAATCTTGGTGTGTTTGTGTATTTTTTGCAGATCTGCACACTAAACCAGCATGAAAACACTGTTGCACTTTGTGAAGGAACTTCCTGTAAAAAAGACCAGTCACCGCTGTGCTCTCTCCTTGTGCATGGTGACTGGTCTTGTATCTGCTCCCTCCTGTAGTTATCTGCAGGCAGCCAATAGTGTGGCAAACTCCAAGGTCCCACTTACAGTTGTGCTCTTGGTACAGGCTACATGCAGCATAGCAATGATATCACTACTACTTTTAGATGCTTGGTGCACTGCACATAAAGTGAATTTATAGTATATGTTGCTATTAAGGAATAGATTTGATTACTTTTTTTGTGCTCAGAGTTCAGCTTTAACAAACGTGGTGACATTCATTTCAATGCAGTTCCATTTCACGTAAATAATCCCCAAACTGGCATTTTCAACATTTCTGAAAATTCTGTGACACACATTGATTTGAAATACACATTCCATAATACTGACTTGCCATTTTAAAGGTCCCGAGTCTCTTAGGCTTGATTGCATCAATGGAGGCTTCAGGTCTAATAAGTTGAAACGGAGGCTTTGACAGCTTCCAAGGAACTCATCTCTTTCATCAGAGACCAAGGAACTGAGGTTCAGTGGACCACTGCTAGGAAAAATGGTATAGTCATATCCATAAAAATCCATAGAAGATAAACTAAATAACAAGCCCTCCCCAACTCAAAAATTTCTCTCAAAAAAGGCAAAGCTTTTTTTTATAGCTGCCCAGTCACAGCTACAAGAAGGAAACACACCTGTGTTTCCTTCTAGTATCCATTAACTGATGTATCCATTAACTGATGTAATAGGTCAAATTATTAGAAATTAACTATAAAATTGTCATCATATACAGCTTCCCACTCCATGTACATCTTGCCAGTCTAAATTCAGCAGATACGTCCGCTTATTTGAATTGGAGTAAGAGCGTACAGCAAATAGGAAACCATGAATGTTTCCTGCAAATTTCTTGATCTATGAATTACACTTTTTTAGGACTGTAAGCTCTCAGGGGCAGGGCCCTCATAACCATTTTGTCTTGTATTGTATTCCTTATATTGTAAAGTGCTGCACAAACTGTTGGCACTATATAAATGTCTGTATTATAATGAAATAAAAAAAAAACACTTTAAATTCCGCCTCTTTCTTCTTAATGCAATGAAAACTATAAAATTAGATTAGTGGTTGTCATGCATCGTATCACAAGAGAAACATGCATGCTGCTATAGCCGGTTTCCTTCTGAAAATGCTAGTTACCTGGAAGTCATACTGACCTTTTGGCTTCAATACTTCTGAGTCAATGACCTGGAACAAGTATGCAGATGCAATGTTCCTATTTCACTCTGACTGACATGTATATTTGTTCTGGGTCAGTGTCTGAAAGTTTTGAAGCAACAGCCAGATATTTCTAATAAACTTTCTTACCTGACATCCGCATCTGCCTGTGCTTTATCATTTGCCTCCAAATTCACATGAAGAAATTGTAAATCGTGTTGCTGCTTCATGTATATCTATCATAAGATGAAAAGACATGTGGCCAATATGAATGCTGGTATGCTTTACACAAATAATCACTTTTGTGCATAAAATTAAAGTGAACCTGCCATGCCTAAAGTGTATATGCCAACAGTCCTGGTAAAATGCAGGCATTATATATAATCCATGTATCTGTGGAGTATCCTGTATTCTAGATCCAGGCTTTATATACAGCCATGTCTTCTCTGTAAACTGGGATTAAAATGGAACTGAAACCAAATAATTTTTTAGTTTTGGATAGACTGGAGAGGGATTAGAACACCTGTCAGATTTGAATTGCGGTATGTGTCCCCGTTAGTGAGATTCAACCTCTGTATTTGCCCTGGTGACCATAATCACCGAAAGTGAAAGAAAATGCCAAATGTTGGGTTGCCATCATAACAGGTATAGATGGGAAATCTTCCAATAGGGACACTAGTTCTGGTGATAACAGGGATTTCCTTTCACTTCCTGTTGTTGGCAATCGGACAGGAAGTGAAGGGAAATCTCTCCAATAGCAAATAGATGGCAAGAAGAAAGTTGACAGGGGTTTTAACCCTCCCTTACTCTATATAAAACTGGCAGCTGCAGAGGGGAAGGAGCGTTTGGTGACAGGTAAGAGCAGCAGGGGTGGGGGGATGGAAGATTGGTGTGGGGTAATTCTATTTTTCCAAATTTGCCTGGGAACATGGAATTACCCTTTAAAGGGGTAGAGTTAAGCCCTGGGAACAGTCAAGTTTAATTTCGACTCCAAGGCCTTTAAGGACTCCGTGGCTTCAGTACTTTCTAAATCACTTTCACAGATAAGGATTATCAAAAAACAGCCAGGAGAAGTCCTTATTTGTATGCATGATCTAAGCCTGTAGCTCACATAGAAATTAGAGAGCCAGTATGACAGACAGGCAGGCAGGTTAACATCATCAGAGGGAGAGGTTATAACCAAGAGCCTACATTACGGTCAATAATTCACAATATTTATTTTACTATAAAGGCACAGGAGGGGACAGCACTTTGCTGGAAATGCTAATTTATACACTTTGATGACAAGCCAGGCTCACTTTATAGAAAAAATAATTAATTAGTGAGGTAAATAGGATTCATGATCAACCTGACTTATGAATCCTTCTATGTTTTCTGAACATTGCTCTATGTCATATTAAGTAATTAAAGACTGGCTCTCAGCACTCAACGCAGATGGTTTCCGGACATCTGCTCTCCTTAACCAGGTACTGTTCAAATCATAATCTGTAGAACGGATATCTGCAGACAGGTGGTCAGGAAATTTAAAAAACAAACACACAGATCTCAATGGACTTTGAGACATCTCTACTAATAAAACTGCCATTGAAGAGATTACAAAACCTACTTGAATTAAGAAAAATAAGTAACTTAAAAGTGATCAGTGATTTTATAGCCTTACCTGCCGCAGGTTTTGCAGTTCTATGTCTGTTCTGTCTTTTTTGGATTTTGCCAATTGAAGAAGCTGATCTTTTCGCTTTTCTCTTTCAGCTAGAACAAGAACCATTGATTCTGACTGTAAACACCAATTTGGATGATTAAATATTAATGAAAACACATACAGCATACGGTATGCTGTAATTACTGAGAGAACTATTAGAAATAACCTTGCTACAGGGTAGAAGACTCATTTGTCTATTCCTAGAAAGCTTTACATATTAACAGACTTCAAAGTGCAGCGAGATGTACTTTTTGCACTTGAATGCCATCTGCACTGATATTTGCAACGTGAAATACAAGAACAAGCCAAACGATTTTATTTATACTGCACTTTTCCGCACTGGAGGTAAAATGATAACTAAGGCCTGCCTGATTCAGACAGGTGTCAAGGGGGGTGGTAAAAACAGGCGGTTAATCCAAATTTTTATTACCCCCCTAACAGGTAAAATAGCCCCCCCAAACGTTGAGCCCTGTATACATGCCACAGCCATGATCCTTTGCATTGCAGCAAATTTTAAATAGCATGTTGAGCTTGGCAAGCGATGGCGTTTTCCAGGCCGGATTTCCATTTCAGGCACCTGTAGACATGAATAGAAATCTGTTTACAGGGCACCCTTATGCAGTGTGTTTGCAGAAGCCGGCGGTTCCTGTAGGCGCCGCTGGTCTTGGAGCAGGAGGGTGCATCTTGTGCAGAATGCACCCTCCTTGCTATTGCCTGGGTTGTATCTTGACACAACACCGGGAATTAGGCAGAGTGGGTAGCTGCACGCCGTCCCTCTATAGAGGGCACTTGTAGGCACGTGGCTACTCTGCCTAATGGTAAATCAGGCCCTGGTTATTTGCTAAGTGCGACAATTTCAATCAATTTCAATAAGTGGCACCACCTGCCAAATGCAGCATACTGGTATTACAATAGAAAACCCTATTGGGATGATAAAAAAACAAACAAAAAAAACTGCATTCAAGATGCGGCAGTATCGTTCACTGAATGCCAGGCCGCCCGTCTGAATGGCGTCGAACAGAGCCTTGCTGATGCCCAAGACTCCCTAACATCTGGGGTGAACAAAGTGAATGGGGGAATGGTTCAATAGACACAACTATTCAGGACTGCACCATTTTCAAATGTTTGCAGACTTTTATGGGCAAAGATGCTGTGGTCTCATATCTCTAAATTGCTTCTTGTCAGGGCAATCGCTCCCAACATGGAAAGCACTAAAACCGCATAGCAATGAGTGGTCAAAGCAACAAGCGTGCTGCCCCTAGGTTAAGTAACCAAAATATGGATGGCTTAAAGTCATAATATAAATGTTATTTATAGTCACCATTATCTGCCACATTGACTTCTGCATTCGGATGTTACAGTGTTGGACAGTTTTTTTGTACACATGAGAGGATTAAATGAAACTATTACCACAAAATGCCTTATTAATAAACTTTTGTAATAACTATAGGTTTACTTTTAGCAAGGGTTTAAGGATCGGTCCACACAAAATTGATGTCACAGTTATAAATGGGGTCTGTTGGACAGTCACCTGTTGGATTCTTCTGTCTCTCTCTGCCATAGTTCTTGGCTCTTTTGCCACCAACTTTGGAGTTTTGTATTTTGTTCACACTGGGTTGTTTCTGCTTGTTTCTTCTGCCCCATTCTCCATGACATAATTCTGTTCATTTTTCATAAAAATTGAACAGGGCAAGTGAGGGTTCCCCCCGTAACCACTGTGTCAGGAGTGCAGATGTTGGAACTCAAGTCAAGTTAAGCTGTGTTATGGCTATGCAGATAGAAACAAGGAGGTTCGCTGTAAGGGACAATTTTCCAGCGCAGTTTCAATGCTAGACAAGGCAATATACCTTGTTCAAATGGGCTCAGTTCACACAACTGCGTTGTTGTGGTTTGTGCTGAAAAAAGTACTGTATGCAGGCACAAACACATCATACAACACTGTGCCCATAGTGACATTTGAAAACAGTTCCTAAAAAAAAAAAAAAAAGGATCTAAGAAACTATTAGGCGATTTAATTCTACAGCATCTGCTAAAAACTGAAATAACAGTTCTGAGTGTACTGCTGTTACAAAGATTGCAATTTATAATCAGCATTATTTGTATATGTGAGCTTTGGAATTAGTGATCAGTATGACAAACATAATGAAGAAGGAGGATCACAAATCATTAAAAAGGCATTAGATGCTTTGTTACTTTGTAATTGTGGAAAGAACTCCACTGACCTGCAAAGACCAGCTCAGCCTGTAAGTAGGCACTTTCCTGTTTTAGGCGGATAATCTCTTCCCTCTGCTCATTGTTCTCCACCGTCTTCTGACTCAGGTCATCTTCAATATACAAAGTAATGAAAGTGCAATTATTACTACATGGTTTAGACACTTTCATAAATTGAAATGCTGCAGTGAAGACAGCTACATTCTAAAAATGTGGATGCATATAGGTAAAGTCTAAAAGCAATGGACACAACCTACGCACATAGCCCTACTGGCAGCATATACCAGAAGTTGATGAGTTTTTGCAGTATTCAGAATCACAGTTAACAATCTAGGAGCCAACAGACACTTTTAGGAGTCAGGGAATATACTGTGTACTGCAGACTTTCTCAACCAGCGTGCTGCGGCACACTGGGGTACCTTCTGGCTTTGTCAGGGGTCCCTTCAAACTTTCACACAGCATCATGCATTTCCATGGTGCAGGTGAGCCTGCCAGTAGTACCATGGATCCATCCAGGAGGTTGCCTCCTTCCAGACCTGCTCCACCTACTACCCTATGTCAAGCTGCACTGTGGTGATGATTATAAAGGTAAGACTCTGATGTGAATGGGTGCTTCTGATTTCATGGGAGAGTCTCTGATGGGAAGGTAGGGGCTCTGCGTCTTTTTTGTTGTTGTTGTTGCATGGTGTCCCCCCCTTAAATCTATACCAGACCCTAACATAAAAGTATGGTATGGATTTTGGTGGGAACCATGAGTCATGAGCAAAATTTCTTGTTACCCATAGCAATTAGCGGTCTTGGATTAAAAACTGAAACAATGATTCACATTGGTCGATATCTGCAATAAGAAATTTGCCTGTACACACTTTTAATACAATAGCCCCATAGTGACAACTATTTGAAAAGTTAAAGAATATTTGGAGGGTAAACCACACATATAGAATGATTAAAGCATATTTTTCCTAAGCCTTCCTCCTACCAGAATACTAAATGGTTACATAATAATATTTTTCCTTTTGTGCTATCTTGAAAAGCATTTCTACGCTTATTAACCTCCCTTAAGAATTATCAAAATTGTATTCTACCAATTTAGATCATTTTCCATACATCTGGTTTCCATACACTCCTGTATATGTTTTATTTTGCCTTGGATGCTTTTCATTGTATTAGTATATATGCGTTTACACCTATGTGCACCTTACATGCATTTGTAGACACATAATTATACAGTACATATCTTTTTAACACATTCATTTGCAACGTTTATATTCTTAGATTAAAAGAACCTTCGATAAACTCATGTATGTGCTGGAAGCTGTCATGATTCTGACAGCTTTCCGTTTATTGGTTACTAGGACACCAGGCCACCGGAGTCCTAGCAACCAGTTATGCATCCCCAGCCCCATTTCGCTGCTGGCCAGAGGATTCTCAGCTGGCAGATGAATATAAACAAAGGGCCAGGGATGCTGTCTAACCTCATTACCCAAATATGGCCATATTTGGGTAATAATGTTAGCCAGCATCCCCCTGTCTACATTTATTTATCTTGGTGATGTTGAGTGGGCAAAACCTGATGGAGAATTCTAAAAATTCAGAGAACTGAGTTTCCCATCGGGACCACTCTGCTGCAGAGTGACAGCAGGCAGGAGCCAAAGCTAGCCTGCTATTGACTATGGCACCTTACCACTGCCAGCTGTCAATCAGCAGCAGACCGGACCTAAGAGGGAACTCAGTTCTCTGGATTCCGCTTCAGGCTCTGCCCACTGCTTGAGTCACTGGTTGTTAAGGACGAGGTTTCCAACATATACATGAATCTGGTGCAAGCAGTGACAGTTGTTTTGCGCATGCATTACAGACACTAGTTATGAATTCCGGTGATTGATGTGAACAAAAGCATATAGTACAGACAATACAATACTGTACGTAGGGGCTTGGTTAAAATGTGATATATCTGAGTACTGTAGGAATCAATGTTATATTTATATGGGCAGGACATTGGCTTAGTGGTTAGTAGTCATGCCTTGTTTTAATCCCAACCAGTACACTACCTGCATGGAGTTTGCATGTTCTCCCTGTGCTTGTATGGTTTTCCTCCAGGTACTCCAGTTTCCTACCTGGCCCTAATATATATGTATGTAAGATGAAAGGGACCTTAGAATGTAAGCTCCTTGAGGGCAAGGACCTATGTGAATGGACAGTAAGTAAAGCACTGTGTAAATTGATACTGCTAAAAATCTGTAATAAATAAAGTTTAAAGTGAACATATGCATGAAGTAATCTGACACACTTTCTGTGAATTTGAATAATTTTTAAGTTTATGTGAATAAAGAATGCATCAGTATTCTTTGCTTTATCATTACATAGTGCATTTTTTAATGTACTACTAGTCACAAAAGTATGGATTTGTTTTTAAGCTCAATGCCTGGCAAACAGCTAACTTCACAGATCTAATGCACATATGAGAGCAGTTTTGCTTGCCAAACAATTTATATTTCTGTCCATCCAGTCCTGAGATTTACAAAACTCTTCAACACAGCAGAGGGCTGCCTGCCAGGGGAAAAGGGGGAGGGAGCTGCTCTTCTACACTTCCACCTTGTGAATCAACAGTAAAAGGAGAAGCAGCACACCGATGAGCTCATATATGTCTTTTTTATTCTACTATCTCCTCCTATCACCACACTTCTTGCACTGAACACACCCTTGTGATGCTTCTCTTTCTTCCTCTGTGAGCTCTGTTGTACAAGACTGCATGGGGATGATATCAAATCAGATTCAGATACTTACATAGCTTGCATTTAAAATGTCAGATATAAACCTTCTTCCTCTACCAGTTTACATAGAATAAGCAAAGGTTCAAAAGAAGTCATGTTTTGGTTATTTGTTTCTGAAAAAAACCTGCTTTACTTTAATGGAACACTTTTCTATGTACTTTGAATCACAATACATTAAAAGTAGGCCGACCCTAAAAAAGAATTTGTAAAACAAAAATAAATTCTCATGCCTTTTAGATCATGAACTTCGGTCTTCAACCCCTTTAGCTTGGGCGTAAGATCTTGTGCTTCCCTTGAAATCGTAGTTTCCCTACGTCTGGTCTTGCGCAATTCTGCATCTAAATCCTTAAATCGAGATGTAAACTCTCTGATGTGTTCGGTTGCTTCTATAATGTCTGCATCCTGCAGCGAACAGTGACAGAACAACACATTAATATTTGGTACATGCATAGATATAAGTAGCTACATTCTTAGCGGAGTTGTACATAACCCTAACTAGGTTTCTTATCAAAGTTTCTTTTTTCTCAACTTCTGGATTTTCTAAAAACTTTCCAGGCTGGAAGGTCTGAGGGAGAAAAGTAAAACCTTTGGTCTTCATTAGGTCTCTTGAGGTAGGTCTTTTCTCCCAAGGTACAGAGTAAAGCTACCCATACACTGTTAGAATTTCGTTCAAACAACGCTTTTTAGAACATTCGATCTTGCCATCATAGACTCATTTCATTCGTAACCCCTAAAATGTCATCCAGCCTGCGTACTTAAATGGAATCCCAGGCATATTAAGCGGGCTTCTTTTGTGCTTAGCACATGTGCATTACAATATGTACAACTTTTTCCAAACGAAAAGCACATTCATGATTAGAATTTTGTTCATTAAGATGAGAAATTAGAAAATTTTTCATCCTGTTTCTTCAATTTTCTTGGTCACTACGGTCGCAAATTAACATGTATTAGACACCACTAACCATTAGAAAGTTCAACAAACGTTCTAAAAAGCAACATTTTTTAACACAATTCTACAGGTGTATGGCTTGCTAGGAAAGTGTTAGTCATAATAACCCAGACCTGGGCATTTTACGGCCTGCAAGCCACATCCAGCCCACCGGCTGTTGCTGTCCGGCCTGTGGTCTGGACACGAACCGATCGCAAACTTGCGCTCATTTATGGCTGGCTAACAGTGGATGTGCCAGCCTCCATGGTATCCTAGCAACCAATGACATAAGGTGTCCACCTCCTCCGCAGTCATTGGTTTCTAGGACTGCCAGGCAGTCCTAGCAACTAGCGATGTCAACTATGTTCCCAGCCCCCAGCATTACAGGAAGACAGATGAGTATCTTCTTCCGTCCTCTGCTGCAGCCTGCTCCACCTCCCGGCTCCTGCCTCTGACCTATTAATATAGTAGGAAAATAAGCTATGAGGGGACAATAATATAAAGGGGCACTCTAATTAGGGTGCCCCCTTACATTGGATGTCCAATCAGAGTGCCCCCCTTACATTAACTAAGAAAATAAGGGGCACTGTGATGGGGACAATCAGATTAAGGGGACATTCTGGTATGGACAATTAATTATTAGTCGTCCTTATCGGAATTCCCCCCTCATTAGTTGCCCCCATCAGAGTGCCTTCTTTTATATTAATTGCAAAAGTGGGGGGCACTCTGATGGGAACAACCAATGTAAGGGGGCACTCTGATGGGGACAACTAATTATTAGCTGCATCCATCGGAGTGCCCCTACATTAGAAGCCTCCTAATCAGATTTTTTACCAATTTACATATGTGCCTACGCTCCTTCACAGTAATGTGTTGTCCCCTCCACAACAGTTCCGTTTTCTCATGTGGCCCCTTAAGAAAATGTATTGCCCACCCCTGTAATAACCCATATTATACATCGTACCTTCAACTTTAGTAAAGTGGAAAGCTCTTGTTCTCGGGCCTGTAGTTGCCCAACTTGTGCTGACAACTCCAAAACCGATTCACTCAAGCGTCGATTTTTTTCCTGTAACAGTCAAGAAAGGACATTTGTGGAAATGACAAATTACACCATTATTTGCTCAAAGAGCAGTCTACTACTTCTTGGATCACCTTCCTGATGCTGATTCAATGTCCATTGAGCAGGCTAGAGCCAAATAAGTAACACAGAAACCTTCATTGCTAAACCACATGTTACATTTGTAACCTGTCTAGTCATGCAGTACTGCAAATATGTGTTAGTCACATTACTTGCTGAACAGAATTGCAAGCCATACAGTAGATAAAACTGTATACATGTATTTAAAATGTATGTGTAGCGGTTCACTACAGGCCAAGTATTTTCTTTTTCTGCTTAGAAAACACATAAATAGTACACATTCTTATGAGCAATGACCCACTACCAATTCTGTTGCTGGCAACAAAAAGAAAGGGATCATTATAAAGAGACCAGATTACTCAGATGGTTCCATGTTATTACTCCCTCACTGTCCAGATGAACGAGGGGTCACTCCCTCACTGCAGAAATGCTGCAGAATCTCCCTCACCACCAATAGCAGAATCTCCTCACCACCAATAGAGCAATGCTGCCAAAAAAGGTGAGTATTTGTCTTCTGCCCTCTGTAGCAATGGGCTCACAAGTGTGACATAGCCATTAAGGTATCCTGGATGGGTCAAAGTTGACTGCTAGTTTGCTGCTGTTGACCACATCGGCACATCTTCACATTCAGCTACAGGATTTTTATACTGAAACACTTGAAGCCAGGGGACATTAATGTAGACAGGAATGGAGAAGTATGTTCTAACGTCCAAGTGGCACAATTTTATCTCAATTTCTGTAAATATTAGCACTAATCTTCAAAACCAACATTCCAGAATCTCCTGCTCAAATCAGATAAGCGGTTGCAGACCGGTCCATATTTTCTACACTTGTATGAAATGGTTGTTTTCCTAAAAATAAGTGTGTGTTATGTGGTTGCTTTAGCTCCAAATAGTACTTCACATATCTATCCATGGGTGCCCATTGAAAAGGAGTGTGCCTGACCATATAGGTAAGATCTGACTCTTCATCCAGCACCTAGCTTTGCCATAGTCGTAAAGCATCGGATCAGGAGACAATGCAGACAAGCAGGGCAAAGAGGTCCCCTCACTTATCTCAGGGGGGAACTATAGTGATCAGGGCACTTTTTCTAACCAATCTATGGTTTAAAATTGTCCCATGTCTATGGGTTGCTTGGCTATAGTAATACAGATATTTTTGTTGGTTATATGGTCTCACCCATGTGGCACCTAATGGCTTATATATCTGCTGAGCATAAAGGTTTGTTTTTTTTGCATTGGCACAAGGATTGTATCTATATGCCAAATATTTTACCTCTAAGTCATGGCAATGATTATTGGCTTCTGTTGCTACGAGAGAGAGCTCCTGAAGTTGCTGCTGGGTGTTTTCCAAGTTTGTCCTGCGATCCTGGTGCTGTTCTTCCAAAAATTGTATCCTCTTGGTTAATGATTTGATTATGTTGTTCCTTTTCTGCAGATCACCTAGTGAATAAACATACTTATCTCATTACTGCCACCATCACCTGTAATTGTCCAGCACTTAAAGCCCACAAGATTTAAATCAGCTCAGAGCATGTACAGTTGTGGTGCCGCTCGTGTAGCCTTCAACATCTGTGATGGGCCATGCATTACTATTCTAGTTTTATTTAGTAAAATGTATGAACAAACTACAGGAGAAAAAGATACCTGCATGATCCAGCTGTTGATATTGCTTACCTCTGGACTTTTTCTGTATTATCAATATCTTTTTGTAAGTGAGGTTTCCATAACTATACAAAGTATTCTAAATGGGGCCCAACTAAAGCTCTAGATAGCGGAACCCAAACCTCTTTCCTCCAGCTGGTGATCCCTCTAGTGCTGCACCCCAGAATTCTATGCACTTCCCCCAATGCCAGGCTGATTATTTTGCAATCATCTAAAAGCCCCCACCTTCAGCACAAATTTGTTTTTACACATATGCTTCCAGTCATTTATTTGAAGGATTGTGTTGTATTGGAATACAGATTATGGTTGCTGCCATTAACAGGGGCAAAATATTTATTATTATTATTATTATGATGTACTTTTTGTTTAAATGAAAAATTCCATTAAAAAAAAACCCCCAAAATAAAAATAAAATAAAAACACATACTTTCTAGTCTGGCACACTTTTGCTCCAGTGTGAGAATTTTTGGGCGATCATTTTGCCAAGCCAGCAGCTGCCTTTGTTGCAGTGATACAATATCATTGAGCTCCTTATCTCGATCCTTCAGCTCAGCGATCAGCAACTGCAGTTCTTTTCTCTGTTTCTGGATGGTGGAATTTTCCAGATCCGAGGACAAGAACTTAAGATATACAATAAAATTAACAGTAATAATGAAGCATATGTTGCCAAGCTCATAGAAATATAGAAGACTAAAAACAAAAGTAAAGTATTCTTTCATACATATCAAGGACAGTCTACCAGGACCAGTGTTAATTATTATTATTACTATTATTATACAGGATTTATATAGCGCCAACAGTTTGTGCAGCGCTTTACAATATAAGGAAGACATTACAATCACAATACAATTCAAGACAAGATGGTAAGGAGGGCCCTGCTCCTGAGGGCTTACAATCTAAAAGGGAGGGGCAAGTGATGCATGGGGTGGTAGCTGTGTGGGGATGAATTGTTTGAGAAAGTGATAGTTCAGTGGTTAGCTTGAGGTGGAATAGGCTTCCCTGAAGAGATGAGTCTTAAGGGATCGCCTAAAGGCAGTCAGAGTGGGAGATAGTCGGACAGGTTGGGGTAAAGTGTTCCAAAGGATGGGAGAGACTCTAGAGAAGTCCTGGAGGCGAGCATGGGAGGAGCTGATGAGGGAGCTGGAAAGCAGAAGGTCTTTTGAGGAGCGGAAGGGACGGTTAGGGTGATACTTTGAGACAAGGTTTGAGATATAGCCGGGGGCAGAGCTGTGGATGGCTTTGTAACTGATTGTTAATATTTAGAATTTTATCCTTTGGGCTATAGGAAGCCAGTGCAGGGATTGGCAGAGGGGGGATGCAGACACTGAGCGGTTGGTTAGGTGAATGAGTCTAGCAGCTGCATTCATGATAGACTGAAGGGGGGATAGCCTGTGTAGTGGAAGGCCAATGAGGAGGGAGTTGCAATAGTCAAGTGAGTGGATGAGTAATTTTGCAGTTTCATTGGTGAGGAAGGGGCGTATTTTGGAGATGTTACGAAGGTGAAGGCGGCAGGATTTGGATAGTGATTGGATGTGGGGAAAAAAGGAGGTACGAATCAAGGATCACACCTAGGACCTTGGCATGTGAGGAGGGCTGGATAGTTGTGTTATCAATCTCAAGGGAAAAGTTGAGGGAAGATGCATGGGCCGGAGGAAATATCATGAGCTCAGTTTTTGAAAGGTTGAGTTTTAAGAAGTGTTGTGAAATACAGGCTGATATGTCGGTTAGTAGATTAGTGACGCGCAAGGACACTGAGGGGGAGTTGTGTAGTAGAAAGATATTTTTGAGTGTCATCGGCATAGAGATGGTATTGGAAGCCATGTGAGGTTATTAACTGACCAAGGGAGGAGGTGTAGATAGAGACGAGAAGGGGTCCAAGGATAAAGCCTTGGGGGACCCCTACAGAAAGGGGAAAGGAGGGGAGGAGTTAGATTAGTAGGCGACACTAAAGGAGCGCTTAGATAGGTAGGAGGAGAAACGTGAGAGAGCAGAGTCTTGTAGGCCAAGCGAGTGGAGTTTTTTGAAGAGGAGCAGGTGGTCAACAGTGTCAAAAGCAGCTGAAAGGTTTAATAGCAAGAGTAAGGAGTAGTGGCCATTGTTTTCAGCTGTTAGTAAGTCATTAGTGAGTTTTAGGAGGGCGGTTTCAGTGGAGTGTAGCGGGTGAAAGCCAGACTGTAAGGGATCGAGAAGGTTGTTATCAGTGAGGTGGCGGCTCAGGCAGCTGTAGATAAGGCATTCTATGAGTTTTGAGGTGAATGGGAGTAAGGAGATTGGTCTGAGATTGTTGAGGTCGGTAGGGTCCATTGATGTTTTTTTGGGTATCGGGGTGACCAGAGCATGCTTTAGAGGGGAGGGAAAGATGCCAGTAGAGAGTGAGAGATTGAAAATGTGAGTAAGAGAGTATAGGATAGAGCAAGAGGGTGACCGAAGTAATGGTGAGGGAACAGGGTCCAAGGAGCAAGTGGTGAGGTGGGTGTCAGAGAGAAGCTTTGTTACCTACTCTGTGGTGATAGGGTGATGGAGGGTCTGGTACATGAATAGGGGAAGGTGACTGCACAGTGGCGATCTGATCACGAATTGTATACATTTTGTTTTTGAAATGAATGGCAATGTCACGAGCAGTGAATGAGTTAGTGGGTGATGGCAGTGGGGGACATAGTAGAGAGTTAAAAGTAGATAAGAGTTGACGAGGTTTGGATGAGAGTGTGTTAATGAGAGTGACAAAATAAGTCTGTTTGGCAGTACTGTGCACTCTGTTCTCACTCATCTTGGAGTTTCTTGGAGGGAAACAAGAAACAATATTTAAAAGAGAACTTTTTTGGCTATACTTCTCTTTTGGGTCACAGGAGGACATACAGGTGAAACTCAAATAATTGGAATATCGTGCAAAAGTTCATTTATTTCACTAATGCAACTTAAAAGGTGAAACTAATATATGAGATAGACTCATTACATGCAAAGCAAGATAGTTCAAGCCATGATTTGTCATAATTGTGATGATTATGGCTTACAGCTCATGAAAACCCCAAATCCACAATCTCAGAAATTTAGAATATTGTGAAAAGGTGCAATAGTCTAGGCTCAAAGTGTCCCACTCTAATCAGCTAATTAAGCCATAACACCTGCAAAGGGTTCCTGAGCCTTTAAATGGTCTCTCAGTCTGGTTCACTAGGAATCACAATCATGGGAAAGACTGCTGACCTGACAGTTGTGCAGAAAACCATCCTTGACACCCTCCATAAGGAGGGAATGCCTCAAAAGGTTAATTGCAAAAGAAAGTTATGTGGAAGAAAAAAGTATGGAAGAAAAAGGTACACAAGCAGCAGGGATGACCGCAGCCTGGAGAGGATTGTCAGGAAAAGGCCATTCAAAAGTGTTGGGGACTTTCACAAGGAGTGGACTGAGGCTGGAGTCAGTGCATCAAGAGCCACCACACAGAGACGGATCCTGGACATGGGCTTCAAATGTTGTATTACTCTTGTCAAGCCACTCCTGAACAACAAACAACGTCAGAAGCGTCTTACCTGGGCTAAAGAAAAACAGACCTGGTCTGTTGCTCAGTGGTCCAAAGTCCTCTTTTCTGATGAGAGCAAATTTTGCATCTCATTTGGAAACCAAGGACCCAGAGTATGGAGGAAGAATGGAGAGGCACACACTGCAAGATGCTTGAAGTCCAGTGTGAAGTTTCCACAGTCTGTGTTGATTTGGGGAGCCATGTCATCTGCTGGTGTTGGTCCACTGTGCTTCATTAAGTCCAGGGTCAACGCAGCCGTCTACCAGGAGATTTTGGAGCACTTCATGCTTCCTTCCGCAGAAGGAGCTCTATGGGGATGCTGACTTAATTTTCCAGCAGGACTTGGCACCTGCCCACACTGCCAAAAGCACCAAAACCTGGTTCAATGACCGTGGGATTACTCTGCTTGATTGGCCAGCAAACTCGCCTGACCTGAACCCCATAGAGAATGTATGGGGCATTGCCAAGAGAAAGATGAGAGACATGAGACCGAACAATGCAGAAGAGCTGAAGGCCGCTATTGAAGCATCCTGGTCTTCCATAACACCTCAGCAGTGCCACAGGCTGATAGCTTCCATGCCACGCCGCATTGAGGCAGTAATTGCTGCAAAACGGGCCCAAACCAAGTACTGAGTACATATGCATGCTTATACTTTTCAGAGGTCCGATATTGTTCTATGTACAATCCTTGTTTTATTGATTGCATGTAATATTCTAATCATCACAATTATGACAAATGACGGCTTGAACTATCTTGCTTTGCATGTAATGAGTCTATCTCATATATTAGTTTCACCTTTTAAGTTGCATTAGTGAAGTAAATGAACTTTTGCACGATATTCTAATTATTCGAGTTTCACCTGTATACTAATGTCCTCCTGTGACCCAAAACTCAGCACATAGTGGGCTATTGCCTGTCGTGGCAGACTCTATCTAAAGGTGGCCATACACTTTACAACCATCGCAAGACCTTAGTCTTGCGATGGTTGTAAAGTACTTAAAAAAACGTACGATCTGCCCATCTTGGACAGGCAGATCGTACTCTCGATCATCGCAAGCCCGCCCCCCTGAGGGGCGGGCTTACGATGACTGTAATGAGGGGCGGGCTTACGATGACTGCAAACACGTGCGCACACCGGCCCGTTCGGCAGTTGTCGAACCAGCAGGCCACTAACTCGCCGAGAATCGTACGATTCCCGGCGGGTTTTCTAGCATGCTGGTTCGACGGAAGACGTGCGACCGTACAGTAGAAACGGTCGCACGCCTTCCATACACTGCACGATTCTTGCACGATTGCGGAATTTCCCGCGATTCTTGTACGAGAATCGTGCAGTGTATGGGCACCTTATTAAGATATTTTCTGTGCAAAAGATTCCTTTTACAGATAAAACTAGTATGTTAGACATTCCGGTATATACAAATTACTCTGTACCTTTGGTGATAGAAGATCTGAGTTGTTCATAAGGCTCTTTGATGGTCACTCCTTCAGAAAATAAAGCAGCTGTTGCAAACACTGTGGATATATATGAAAAGCAGCATTAACACAGCAAATGTAATAAAAACGACAATAAGACTGCATTAACACAGCAACAGAAAAACTGTTGTTTCATAAAATCTACACACCCCTTGCTCAAAAACATTTCACCAAAATTCTTCAAAAAATGGCAAATGCTAATGACAAGTGTAAATCTTTACTCTGTTCATGTTGTTTCACTTTAACAACAGAGAAAATAGTAGGATGTGCCACCTGGAACTTTTCTAGACTCCAGGTGCCCAGGTCTATTGATGCCCCTGCTTTTGACTCTGTCGGCACCCCTCCATTTTTTTGATCGACTTTTGTCGAAGGAGCCTATCCGGCTGAACACTGACTGCAGCCAATCAGCTACAGTCACTGTTCGGATACTCTGACAGTGGCACAAATGCTGCTATTATAATATAATAGCCCAGGGGGAGTGGGCTCTTTGGAAATCCCCCATCCACATTGTGTAGGGTGGATGGGGGAATCTGTTTGATTCCTTTCATTCAGCTCGCAGGCTGAAAAAAATCTTTTAGCGTATGGCAGGACTGGCAATGTGTACTATTTGGGGTTTTCAGATTTACACTAAGGGCTGGTTCATATCATGGCATTGTGCTAAAGCCATGGTACCACAATGCTCACAATGTATTGCACCGCACACTAGGTGTGCATTGCCTTTCATTTATATATTCTGAATGGCACTCCAATGCAACTCCCAGCGCATACCACAATAGCGTGTTAAAAAAAGTTCATTGTATCTATCATGCATGTATCATGCACATGTACAGAGTCCAGGGAGGTTTTATGCTGTTTGATCATGGATACTAGTGGGTATATTTTTATCATGTGGATCATGTAATCTTTTAATAAATACATTTTTTTAATGTCATTTTGTCATTATTATGTTGTATTATCCCTAATTGCATTTTTGACACCTTAAAAGCCCCATCTATCTCTTTTTTTGTTTTTCATTGTGGTGTGGTGCAGAAAAAAACAGTGTATGCACCTGGAACAAACATGCAGTTCAGGAAAATAAAAGTCAAAAGTACTTATAGTAGGGTTCCTTTGGTCCATGTGTGTTTATCAATTAAAATGGCTCGTTCACCCCAGCCAGCCGCACTAAATGTGCTTCCTTTCGTCTGTGCTGGGAAGAACAGTGCTCATGTATTGATCCCTGAGCATCGCATGGATTACTTTTTCCTTTGTTAGAAAACAACATTTCAATTCCTTCTATTCACTGCAGCAGCATTGCGATGTGGTGGCTTGCACTGAAACCCACTGCACCAAATAAAAAAGTACTCCGTGCTTTATGTTTGTTCAGCACACACCACCGTGGCGGTGTGAACTGACCTAATTGAATACCCAGGCTTTTTGCCTCATCTATGCATTGGGACTGTACTGCGTAAGACTACCAACACAGCACCAATGCATCTGTTGTGAATGAGCCCTAAAGAGTAATCATCCCAATGACATTGGAAAACCTCTACCACCCACAGACTCACTTTATTACCTTGTAGAAAGCGGCAGTTTACTCCTCTATGTGGATGCACAGTTGTTGAACTTGTCTTGTAGAGAGTCAGCAAAACTACCCTGTAAGAAAAGCACAAATCGTACTCTGATTTGCAACAGTGGCTGATGACAGCTGGAGTCATACTTACTCTGTGCTTGTTTAACTCATTTTGGAAGCAGCTCCCATACAGAGAAAGAGATCTTTTCTGCAGCAAAACAGACGGCTGCAGTCTTTTACTTGTCTCCCATTACATCTAACTACAGCAGTATTCAGGAAGGCGGGTAGGAGGTGTCATGCGTACCATTGGCACGCTGAACAACTACTGTCCACTAGAGGCTCATCTACATTTACTACTATAGTAGACTACAAGAAAATGGAGGTTTAATAGCTATTTTAAACCTACAGATCAAGCAATTAATACCTTTCCTGCTATCCAGGTCACCGAATTCTGCTGCGTCAAGGAACTAAGCATAATAGAAAGGACAAAATGCACTTTGTTAAAATGAGTATAAGATAA